GACTGATGCGGCTCTAGAACCAGGCTGTCGGGAAGGCTCCTCTCAAAAGAAAAAGCTTCTCTTTACAGGATTTCTTTAGGGATCCCAAGATATTGCAGATTCCAGATACCTGCCAAAAGGAACTGCAGACCAGGTATGGAACCAGTCCAAGTGAAAGAAATATGTTGCACTCAACAAAGGTGAAAGGAGTTGGAGATCTTGTTATGGAGTTTGAATACACGTGGAAGGACCAAAAACATGATTTAAATTAAAATTAGCCAAATTTATATTTAATCTGCAGCTGACCACAGTCTCCCTGCTTAGATTTGGGACTGTGGCCCACCTTAAAGTGGGAACAGGGTGGGCTTTTATAAGCAGGTTACAATTACTTCATTCCAGTGGAATTTACATCTATGTGAGGAACTGTGAGGAACTGGCCTACTCTCCCTGTTTATGGAGAGAAGTGAAGTTTACAGAAACCAGAGCAAGTTGTTAATCATCTCAGAAGAGTTTTACATTTCTGGGAAGGGTGCAATAAGTCAGAATTACTAGGAACTTATCTTTTAGGAATTTATAATGGGTGTCTAGCACAAATTTGAGTTTCTTTAGCCATCACAATTTGAAGAATGCTTCGACATCAAATGTGGAGATGAATAATTTGGAGTTTGCACTGCTAGTTTTTGGACTTGCTTTGGTTGAATATTTCTGCACTACGTTCCCTTTCTTTTCCTCCCTTTACTAACGGTAAGGTCTTTTCTGTGCCAAGGTGTGCGATCTGTTTTGTGACTTTTTTTTATTGGTGGCTGCAGTTAAGAGACTGCCTTGAGTAGAGCAAGAGGAAAGGTAGAGACGCAGGCACTAGCCAGTTGCAGAGGAACTAAGATGAGAATGCCTTACTGAGAAAAAGTACCAAGCCATGTGGCTAAACATAGATAAGACTTATGGGTTAATTTAAGTTGTAAGAGTTTGTTAGTAATAAGCCTGAGCAATAGGCCAAGCAGGTTATAATTAATACAACACTCTGTGTGTTTATTTGGGACTGAATGGCTCAGGATAGGGTGGAACAAAAATGTCTGTCTACGGTGCGTTGGTTCTAACCACCAAGATATCACTCCACTATTGTGGCCCAGTATTAAAAAATCAATAAGATGTGAAAGTAGAGAAGCAGAGACCTGTGCAAGTTGCCTTAAGTTGTGCCCCTGATATAATCTATTTCTTTTATTTTTGAATAGTTATCAAGTGAATGTAATCTACATCTTGACAAAGATATCATCCACAAATGATAGATTTCATAGTTTTAAACTGGACAGTTCATTGAACTTTATGTGGGCATTCTGAGGATCCTCAGAGATATTTACAATAAAAAGTACAATTAAATTTAGGACACTTTGGTCACCTTAAAAGAAATCCCATCACCAGAGAGTCTGAAACAGGGAAGTCCCTAAGAGAGATATGTATAGTACCCCAGAGAAGGGGAACCAGACAGGATCTCCTGAGGGGATTAGGTGCATGGGGGGAGGGGAGAGAGAGCTTGCTAAAGAGAGGGGAAGAACAGGAGGTGAGAAGATGTGGGGAATCAGGAAGTTTGAGTTGGGGGGAAGAATAGAGAAGAGCAGGAAAAGAATACCGTAATAGAGGGAGCCATTATAGGTTTGAGGAGAGATCTGGCACTAGTGAGATTTCCAGAGATCTACAAGGATAACACCAACTGGCAGTCTAAGCAATAGTGGAGAGGCTATCTTAAATGCCTTTCCCAATAATGAGACTGACAACTACCTTGTATGCCATCCTAGAGCCATCATCCAGCAGCTGATGGAAGCAGAAGCAGATACCCATAGCTAAGCACTGAACTGAACTCCCGGAAACCAGTTGCAGAGAGGGAGGATTGATGAGTAAAGGGGTCAAGACTGGGCAGGTGAAACCACAGAAACAACTGACCTGAACAAGGGTGAGCTCATGGATTCCAGACTAATGGCTGAGAGGTCAGCATTGGACTGATCCAGACCCCCTGAATGTGGGTGTCAGTGAGGAGGCCTCGACATTCTTTGCAGCTTTGGGTATTAGATCAGTATTTATCCCTGGCATCCAAATGGACTTTGGGATCCCATTCCACATGGAGCTATGCTCTCTCAGCCTGGACACATGGGGAGGACCTAGGCCCTGCCGCAGATGATATGACAGACTTTGGAGATCCCCCATGAAGGACCTCATCCTCCCTGCAGAGTGGAGTGGGGATTGGGTGGAGAATTGGGGGGGGGCTGGTGGGATGCAGTGGAGGAAGGGAGGAGAGGAGGGGAGGGAGATGGAGCTGGTATTGACTTGTGAAGCAAGCTTATTTCTAATTTAAATAAAAAAGAAATCTTATGGGATGGTAAAATGGCTTAGTGAATAAGGTGCTTTCTGCCTAGCCTGATGACCTGAGTTTAATCCCTGGGGCCTACATTATGAAAACAGGGAAAGAACTGACTTCAGCAAGTTGTCCTCTGACCTCACAAGGAAGCCTGTGAATCCCTCCATGTAATAAAACAATGGTAAAGAAATATCAAAACTTTAGTTATTACCAATTCCATCCCCTACTACCACTACCCAGCTTTACCTAAGTAAATACTCTTCTTCTTACCATGTCTGGATTTCCCTATTCTGTGCTTTAATATGAGTAGAATGGTATTTTATGTGGCTTTGGGACTTATTTCTTTTGCTTTTTTATGGATTGAAAAGTAATCCATTGTATTGCTATAGTAAGTTTTTTAGGAGGGTAAGGTTACACTATTTAGCTCTAGCTGGCCTGGAACTTACTGTACAGAGTATGTTGGACTCAAGCTCAGAGATCCACCTCTGTGTGCCTTGCAAAGACTAGGACTTAAAGGAGTATTCTACCACACATGGCTGCTATAGTATATTTACATTTTGTTTATTCTTTTAATGGAATAGATACAGATCTCTGCAATTGCTTGCAGCTTTGTTTTTATGAAACATGGTTCTAAATGCAGTCATATGCAACTTTCTGTGTACATATGCTTTTTCAGTCTGGACTTAGCAATGTAATTATTTGGCCATGTGTCAACTCTCTTTTAAATTATTTGAGTACATAAAGGACTGTTCTCCAAACTTGACAGCTTACTTTGCATTCCTACCTGTACTGTATGAGGGTTTAGATTTTTCTGCATGCTCAGCAACACATGTTACTACCCGACATTTTGATTTTAGTCATCCTGGAATGTTTTTAGTGGCACATCACTGTAATTTTCTTTTCCATTTGTTTCACTGTTAACTACTGATTTTGAATATCATTTCATGTCTTATTGGTCATTTGTGTATCTTAGTATAATTGCTTGTTTAAATACTTAGGCTGTCTGTAAATAGGATTCTTTCCACAAGTGTGGAATGTTTTCCATTATTTTTTTCAGATTACTTAAATGTTCTATGGTTCAGTAATCTAATTAATCTTTATCAATAAAAAATCCAGAGTCAAATATTATGGTAAGAATCTGAAAAATCAGAGAACATGGAGCAGTCACCAGTTGCTTCCTACCTCTTCACTTATTCTGTCAAAAAGGGCCAAGATCCTCTCTCCACCCTGCCTTACTACCTCCTGTCTCCTTTCTCTACGGTCATCCAAATCTCCATGGTTAGCTAGTGGCTAGCTTTGCTCTCTAACTCCAAGCAAGCTTTATTTATCAGAACATATCCAAAATATCACACAATTCAATTTTTCCTTTTATTGAAAATAACTTTTTTCCACACATAATCTTTCCCCTCCCTTTACTCTAAAAATTCTTCCTCATCTCCCCTCTCATCCAAATCTACTCCATTTCTGTTTCTCATTAGAAAACAAACAGGCTTCTAAGGGATAAAAATAAAATAAAATATAATAAGATAAAACAAAAACTAACACATTGGAATAGGACAAAAAAATAAACTGAAGGAAAAGAACCCAAGAAAAGGCACAATGAAGAGACACCGAGATCTCATTTGCACACTCTGGAATCCCTGTACTCAGGAATCCCATAAAAACAGTAAACTGGAAACATATATATATATATATATATATATACATATATATATATATATGGAGGGCCTGTAGGGCAAAAAGAGATAAAAGTATGAAAAACATATGAATATAATAAAATAAAAATCAGATAAAAATTTTAAAAGAAAGAAAATCCCTGACATTATATTATGAAGCAAAGAACCTGCAAAGATGCCATTGAGTTCATTTCCGGTGGACTGTTTACCCTTGCACATGCAGCTTACCCTAAAGAATAGTTAGTTCCCCTGTGAGACTCCCTTGAAAAAAACCATTTTTTCATTATGCAAGTGGTCATCAATTGGAGGTAACTTCTGGGTTAGAGATTGGGGGACATATTCTTTGAGTGCAAGGATGTCATCTGTTGCAGACTCTGTACAGGCCCTATGCATGCTGCCCCCCCCACCCCGTGTCTGTGAGTTCATATGTGCACCAATACTGTTGATTCAGAGGGCCTTGTTTTCTTTGTGCTCTCCAGTCCTCTGGCTCCTACACTCGTTCAGTCTCCTCTTCCATAGGATTCACTCATATTTATTTATATTTTACTTTAAATTTTTGGTAATTTTTCTTTAAAAAATTTGTTCTTTTATTCTTTTAGATTATTTGTGTGAATGTAATTACTTTCTTAGTTTTTTGTGTGTATGTCAGTACATTGAGTGTACACATGTTTGTATATAGGCCCACATGGTGGCCAGAGGTCAACTTCAGGTGTCATTCCACTAGAGCCATCCATCCACCGTGTTCTTTACATAGTATCTCTCATTATCCTTGTTCTCATTGATTAGGCTAGGCTATCTGATTAGTCTCAGTGATCTCCCATTCTCTGTCTCCCTAATGCTGAAATTTCAAATAAGCACTACCATGCATTTTTATGTTAGTACTGGTGATCAAATTCAGACTCTTGTGTTGTGTTTTTAAAATTAGATTATTTTATCTCATCTTTTCTTATCTGTGTGGGTGTTTTGCCTTGATGTATATCTGCCTGTGTTTGGTACTTGCAGAGGCCAGAAGAGAGCATTGGATCACTTGGAACTACATTTACAAATAGTTGTAAGCTACTTTGTGGGTGCTGAGAATTGAACTAGGTAAGATTACCTGCTGAACTATATCCAGTTTCTTTTGCTTTGTAGGCACTTTACTGACTGAGCATCTCTGCATGCATAATTATTTATTGTTTTCATTGGTGACTGGTGTGTGTGTGTACATGTGTTTGTTTGTCTGTGTACATGTGTGGGGACACAGTAAGGAGTGCTAACTATGCATACCTCTCACCCTCCTTCCCTAATTATTGTGTTTAAACTTTAAATCCATCTTTTCCTCTCCCCAATGCATACTGATTAAAAATCCCCCTTTATTTCATCAATCATTTTCTCCTTAATTGATATATTAGGATGGGTGGATGAGCTGCTGTTGTTAAGAATGCTAGAGCCAGGCCATTTGCACCCCCCTCTCAACTCTAGTTATATCATTTAAGAGATTTTTTTGTTTCAAAACATGGATTCCTGGTACTATCTGTAGTGCTGTTGATGTAAGCATTTCAATGGATTGGATGGGATGGACAGGGATGGATTATGGCACACAGGAGACAAAGAATACTGAGTGTTACAGCTTGGATAGAAAGGTATTCTGGCACTTGGGAGCCAAGGAATACCACAGGTCACAGTAAGCATAGCATCTTACAGCCCTGCTTTAGGGAAAGGCTTCCCCAGTGTATCAGCTCTGCTCAGACAGGAGAGAGTGAAACCCAGCGAAGGCATTAGAGTTTGGCTCCAGTCCCCTGGAGAGCAGAGTGTAACAACCTTGCTTCACCAGGGAAGGTTTCCCCAGTGAAAAGTGTTACAGCCCTGCTCTGCTCAGCTATGCCCAGGGTCTTCTCTGCTCTGGTAAAAGAAGGTCTCACCCAAACCTCATTCAAGAGATTTATTGGGAGTTAAGAATCCAGAGAGTGGCTGCCTTATGCCAGGGTGGCAGAGGACAGGTGGCAGCTGGAATAGCCAGAAGCTGAACAGACACAGGGTTTATATAGGGAGTCTTAGGGGGTGGAGTTTTTCCAGGGAGATTTCCAGGGTGGGGATTGGTCAGATTTCAATGCTGAGCTCAGATTAGCTAGAGCTCCTGCTCAGGGATTGGTTAGTTTTCTGCACAGGGTTAGGGTCACATTTTGCTCTGGTTTCAGGGCCAAAGTGTATTTCTTTCTCTGGTCCTTTTCAGCCTTTTGGCTCTAGTTTTAGGGCCAGGGTGTATTTCTTTCACTGGCTCTGATTCCAGGGACAAAGTATGTTTCTTTGGCTCTGCTCAGGGCGTGTTTCTTTGGCTGGCCCCCTTTCCCTAGATTTGATAAGGAGGCTTATGTACATTAATGTTTGTAGCAGTCCTGTACAAAAGCAACGGAACTGTGTGATTCATGTCCTCTCATGCTAAAGACTTCTGATAGGTTAAGCGAAAAGAACTGAAGTAGCATAACTTAGTGAGTACAGTATACCCGCAAAGCTGTACAGATTTGTTAGTCCCGTTCTCTCATTTCATTTCACCACTCGTGTTTCTGGTTGTGATAGTTTCTTCCAGCCCATTTGAAATATTATTATTTTATAGGTTAAATTTCTGGTTCTGACCAGTTCAGGGTCAAGGGGGGCTGTTTTGAATTGTTTACCAAGCTTTCTTTCTGGTTTTGTTTGTTTGTTGTTCCTCTGTGTAGTCCTGGCTGTCCTGGAACTCACTCTGTAGCCCACAGTGGCCTCGAACTCACAGAAATCCACCTGAGTCTGCCTCCCTCTTGCTAGGATTAAAAGCATGCACCACCACACATAGAGACTGATCATGAGGCAGATGTGGTTCACTCACTGCACTTTTTTTTTCTTTTTTGGTTTTTCAAAATAGGGTTTCTCTGTGTTGCTCTGGCTGTCCCATAGCTCACTTTGTAATCAGGTTGGCCTCAAACTCAGAAATCTGCCTACCTCTGCCGCCTGTGTACCTTTATTAACAGTGTATGCCGCCACTTCTGGCTAGGGATACATTTGCTGATTTTTTTTTTTAACTTTGGGCTTTACAGAATTTTGTGGTGACCGGATCACTCAGCTGACTGCTCACTGAAGCGATGGTTCGGAAACACCATTTAGTATTAGGCACCCCACTTTAGTAGCTGCGATAGCCACGAGACGACTACCTAAATTCCTGACAACCCCAACCTTGCCCCATCCTCAGAACTGTGTAACTGTGGTGAAATGATTAACCTCTTGATCTGGCTTCTGTAACGTCAATTAATCACCATAGGCAGAGCGAGTGAGTCAGTTCCCCATGTAACTGCTGGGAGTAGTGAGACAATTCCTCACATTGACGTTAATTCCGCTGTGGTGGAGAAATTGTGGTTTTCAGTTTTACCAACCTTACCTCCACCTGCTTAGGTAAGGCATGTACATTTATGATTTGGCTTAGAGACTGTGTCCCGGCTAACAGCGCTTTAATAAGTTTGGATAATTTTGGTTTGTATTGAGTCTGGTGGTCTTTTTCCGATGGACATGAACTCCATTAAAGTGTCCCTCAGGACTCCTGTCCCCCTCCTACCACGCCCTCCAAAACCAGCAGTTCTAATGGCTAAGGCAGAAATGGCGGGAAAGAACTGTACACAAAAACGCAGTAACGTGAGCTTATCTTGAGAGCGCGCCTAGTAGGGTTTTTTGAATTTGGCACGAACCAATCAGGGTGTAGAATATGAGTTACATCACCGTGGGTTTCGGTTTCCCCTTCCCACAATTCTTGCACCCTCAACGTGCACAAGGATTTAAATTCAAACACTTTCCACCAATGAGGAGTAAGGTTCTATAGTAGGCAGGTTCTCTAGTGAAAGAGTAGACGAGAGTAGACGTTATCCCTGTCAATCATCATAGCACAACCAATCTAGACCCGTGTAGGTGGGGCCATAAACTGCCTATAAAAGGAGGCTCACGGGAACTAGCGCGACCATTTTGTCTTAGCTTTAGGAGTGTGCTGTTCAGGGAGCTGTGTGTTCTAGAAAGCCGAAGGGGCGGTAAGTACCTGAGGCAAGCTAACGGAAAGCAAGCGGACAGAAAGGTGACAGGGAGTGGGAAAGGGGAGGGCTGATGGAGCTTCGAGTTGACTGACTTCACCTTGAATCTTTGACCAGGAGCGGTGAGCTCCGGAGCTCAAAGACGCTCCGGAGCATCGTCGAGACCCAGAGACCCCGAGTGTCGTCGAGCCCCCGAGTATCTTCGAGCTTCTGAGCTACATGCGAGCAGTAAGCATCAATAGGAGTGGCTTCCAGAAGCTTTCGCAAGGTTTATTTTAGTTCTTAGATGCTATAGTTCATACATATAATTTATATATGTTTTTAAATCTTAGTTATACATAGTATGTGCTTTATAAATGTCTACCTAGAATAATCTACTTTAGTAATGTTAAAAATACGTTTATGTAGCAGAACAGCCATGTATCTATGTACAGTAAAGCCTACTTTACTCACTGAATTGGGGGGGTTCTGGAACGATTTCTCTGTAGCCCCACCCTTTTTGTCTTTTTGAGATGGTTACTCTGCGTAGCCTTTTTTTGTCTTTGAGACGGTGTCTCTGTGTAGCCCCCCTTTTTTCTTTATTTTTTGTTTTTGTTTTTGGCTTTTTGAGATTTTTTTTCTGTGTAGCCTTTTTTCTTCTTTTTGGTTTTTTGAGACGGTGTCTCTGTATAATCCCTTTTTTGTCTTTTTTGTTTGTTTGTTTTCTGAGAGAGTTTCTCTGTGTAGCCTTTTATTTTTTACCTTTTTGAGACAGTGTCTCCGTGTAGCTCCTCCCCTGGTTTTCTTATGCTTTTTGAAAAGTTTTCTCTGTAGACCCCCCTTTTTTTCTTTTTCTTCTTTTTTTTCTTTTTGAGACAGTTTCTCTCTGTAGTCCTCCCTTTTGGCTTTTTGAGACAGTGTCTCTGTATAGTCCCCCTCCCCCTTGTTTTCGTAGTTTTTTTTGTTTTTTGGCTTTTTGAAATGGTTTCTCTGTGTAGCCTAACCTTTTTTTTTTTTTTTTTTGCTTTTTGAGACATTTTCTCTGTAGATCCACCTTTTTTGTTTTTTTTAATATTTATTTTTATTTTTTTCTTTTTGAGAGGGTTTTTCTGTGGAGCTTTATTTTTTTTTCTTTTTTGAGACGGTTTCTCTGTGTAGCCCTCCCTTTTTTTCTTTTCTTTCTTTTTTGTTTGTTTTTTTTTGTTTTTGTTTTTGTTTTTGGCTTTTTGAGATGGTTTCTATGTGTAACCTCCCTCCCCCTTTTTGACTTTTTGAGAGGTTTTTTCTGTGTACCTTTTTGTTTGACATGAAAGGCTTTTGACACCAGATACTAAAATGTTTTTTAAAAATAGCTAAGAGACATTTGACAGAATAAAGGCCTAGGTTGAGCTCCTAGTCTTTGAAAGGTGGGGGCAAAAGAAACAGAAGTTTTAGGGCATATTCACTACATGGTGAATTCAAGGCCAGCCTGATCTACATGGGAGTATGTCTTAAACGTAATTATAAAATGTATGTAGGTGGTGCAGGGGTGGAGCATTGTCTCAGGGGTCACACCTTCGAGAGGCTGAAAGTTCTTTATAGAACCCAGGTTCAATCCCAGCACCCGAAATGTGGTTTACAACTGGTTGTAATTCCTATTCCAAGGAATCTAATGCCCCCTTCTGGCCTCTGCGGGTACTGAAAGTATGGGGTACATGGACTGATTAATTCCAGTCCCAAGGAATCGGTGGCCCCCTTCTGGTCTCTGTGGCTATTGAATGCATGGCATATAATAGACCTACAGGCAAAACACCCACACAAGTAAAATAAAAGTAAAGATTTTTAAAAAGATAAGGTTGGCTTACGTGATAGTGTGCTTTGAGGCCCAGCTAAATTGGGCTGTCTTGTGAGGGTTAGCCTTACAACCTGATTTTATTTATTTATTTGACTAGTTACTGGTTTTGGATCATTATGTATGGTTTTGTAGATTGGTGGCATTTTCAACTTTAAAGTGAGTAAATCCATTGATACACTTGCATTTCTGATAACTAAGGAGGAGCATGTGCAGGGACTGAAGAGGGAACAGTGTGACATCATAAATTTGAGATCTATCTGGCCTCAATAGCCAGGAACTGTCTCAAAAATCAGAGGGGGGGGGATGAACTTGGTTGAGCAGTTTCAGGAACAGCATGGTGGCTGCTACAGAAATGATTTGTCTCCTACATTTTCAGATGCTTTTATTATTGTGTGCATGTTTAAATCTTGGGTTGTTTTTTGTTATTTTCAAACAAGAAAGAAGAAAAAATCATACCCAAAGGGATTGATCTAAAACTTAAGATAATTAATATCTGATAGCGACTTGTACTTTTGTCAATTTTCTGGGTCTCCCTCGTTTGCTAATGTCATTTGTGTGGTTAAATTTTGGCATCAGTCTTTTCATACAATGGTTTAAAAGGAAAAGTTTCTGTTTTTTTGAGTGGTAGCATTGCATAATTTAGTTGAACCATAGTCTGTTGGATGTTTACTTTGAAATATGTGAGGCCTTTAAGTGGATAAATAAGGAACTAAACCACATTCTTGTTTGTATGATGTGTGTAGGTTCACTAATAATGTGGGGAAGTGTGTGTGTGTGTGTGTGTGTGTGTGTGTGCATGCATGTGTTTATTCATGTGTAGGTGCATGCATGCCACAGCATTTGTGGAAGTCAGGACAACTTTCAGGATCAGGGAAATGGGAATTAAATTTAGGTTTCTAAGTTCGCAAGGCTAATGCTTTTATCATCATGCAAAAGCCATCTTAATGTTTCAGAAAAGAAATGTGTGAGTATTTGGTAGTTTAGAGCAGTAAAATTCACTTGAAAGTCTTAGGTGCTAGAATTTTAGATGTGTATCACCTCTCCCAGACTTTTTCTGTGTAATGTTGAAGTTAAAATATTTTATAGTACAGTACAGTTTTGTCTTAATTTAGAAATTCTGATGGGGGTCCTGATTCTATGATTTTTTAATAAGAAAAAATGACTTACAAATTTTCTATTTACCAGTAAAAACTGGTCAGGGTACACATGCCCCTTCGCTCACCTGGTAGTTGGGCAGCTATGCTTCCAATGTTGCCTCACATGAAGGCATTCTATATTATTTTATGTTTCTTAGTTTTAGGCAGGATCTCATTATGTGCCTCACAATGCTCCCAAACGCTTGGGCTGAAAGGATCCTCCTGCAGATTCCCAATGTCATGATTACATGTTGTAGGTGATGCTGCTGCCCCTCAGCCAGTATAGTTATTTGAGATTTGCAACATGATCTATTTACACTCATGCCTCTGTTGTATGACACCTGATTTATATTCAAGGCAAGATAAAGAGAAACTCCTCAGTCTAAATACTTTTAAGCATTTAAAATTATTTTTTAAACTTAGCATATGGAGTTGTAGGTTACACTTGTTTAAATTTAATTTAATGACATTTTAGATTATGCTTTGTTCAGAGTTATTATTTTCTGTCACCCCCCCCCTTTTTTGGTTTTTTTCGAGACAGGGTTTCTCTGTATTGTTTTGGAGGCTATCCTGGAACTAGCTCTGTAGACCAGGCTGGTCTCGAACTCACAGAGATCCGCCTGCCTCTGTCTCCCAAGTGCTGGGATTAAAGGCGTGCGCCACCAACGCGCCCCCCCCTTTTTTTAAAGAAATCATTTTGGTACATTTACAGCTCAGGCTGACCTCTTTTGTGCTGAGATTATAAGCATGTAGTGCCACACTTTGTAGCCCTGGTTCATCTGGAACTTGCTATGTACACTGGATCATGTTGAACTTACAGGGATTCACCTGCCTCTGTCTCCAGACTGCTGGAATTAAAAGTGTGTGTCACCATGCCCAACTACATGTTTTATTCTTGTTTTGAAGTTGAATTATGTATGTTTTTGTAGCAAAGTAACTTACTGGACACTTTAAAATGTTTAAGTGTAAGTGTGTGTGTGTGTGTGTGTGTGTGTAAAAGTAAGTTGTTGTCTTAGCATGTGTGTAGAGGTCAGAGGACAATTTGTTGGAGTAACTCCTACTACTACCATGTAGGTGCCCCTTAGGATTAAACTCAGGTTGACAGGTTCATTGACAAGTGGCGATTACTGCAGAGCCATTTTGCCAGCCTTTACTGTTGTCTTTGTTTTTTAAATATTATTCACCCTGATTGTTACTATGAAGTATAAAGGGTTTAGGAAATGGGACATTAGCCTTACAAATCCTAACTTTTCAAGCAGAACAATAGACCTGAGTGAGATTTGTAGTACTTGTGTTCAGGATTAAAGGTACTTTTACTGCATCCATGTGATCCCCAGAATCCTATAGGGGATATTTTCCAGTTTACATCCACAAAAGACATTATTAGAAGGTATGAAGTTTGTTTCTTTATTAGTTCCCTGAAAGTCTAATTTCAGTAGTCACATGGTAATATTATTATTTAATGATTAGAATAATCTATGGAACTACCCTAAATCATATTAGCTTCTTCGTGATGTCTCTTTTTCTAATTTACTGTGCTGCTGATTGTTCCCACTAATATACTGTGAAATGATCTTGTATAATCTGGTGAACAGCTCAGTTTCCCAATTCAAAGGTTGCTATCCATAATCCTGTATGAGTTTTTTTTTACCAGGTTCTTGATAAAATAAACTTGACATTCCCCTGCTAGAAATTAATGGACATTGCCTACTAGGTAATATTTAACAATTTCTTTTTGATGTATGCAGTATAAACTATGGTTCATTTTGAAGGGAGTGTCAAAAGTCTGAGTAGTAATTTTGATTTTGTAGTCAGATATAGAATGTGCTGCTTACCTTATATTCTATTTTTCTCTGAGTGATTACCTCCTGCCTCCCCATTCATTTTCAGAAGTTCCTCTTTGAAAAAGCACCTGTATCCTAGCCAGGTAGTGCTTGAGATCTATCTACTCACAGGTAAATGCTCCTACAGGTTTGTACAGAACCTTCTTTAGCTTATGATGAAAAACTATTTTCATGGCCTGCTTACAGTTATGTAAAGTGAAGGTGGAATAGTTTTTAAGATAACATAGAAATTCAGAGTATGTGTATGCTATGAGATGTCATTCCCTCCCCTGTAATCATTCCCAGTTCCGTCACTAAAATGGATGCTCAAAGTCTTTCCCTGAGTCTGTAGAGACCCAAAATACCAAGAGTGACAGTCACTCCTAGAGGGTTGCTGACTCATTCTATAATTTGACTCATTCTCTACAAACTATTCCTCCTCACCCCCACTAAGATTTATTTTTGTTTTTGTATATGTGCGCATGTGTGGAAGTGCCCATAGGTCAAGTAGTTGGATCCCCTGGAGCTGATTCCCATTTTTCCGAGGAATCTCCATACTGATTTCCAAAGTGGGTGTATGAGTTGGCACTCCAACCAGCAGTGGAGGAGTGTTCCTCTTTCTCCACATCCTCTCCCGCATAAACTGTCATTTGTGTTTTTGATTTTAGCCATTCTGATAGGAGTAAGATATGGTATCTCAGTTGTTTTGATTTGCATTTCCCTGATGGCTAGGGATATTGAGCACTTTCTCAAGTGTCTCTCAGCCATTTTAGACTCCTCTATTGAGCATTCTCTATTTAGTGCTGTAGACCACTTTTTCATTGGATTCTTTGGTGTTTTAGAGACTTGCTTCTTGAGTTCTTTGTAAATTTTGGAGATCAGCCCTCTGTCAGATGTGGGGTTAGTGAATATTTTTTCCCATTCTTTGGGCTGCCTTTTTGTCTTGTTGACTGTGTCCTTTGCCCTACAGAAGCTTCTCAGTTTCAGGAGGTCCCATGTATTAATTGTTGACCTCAGTGTCTGTGCTACTAGTGTTATGTTCAGGAAGCAGTCTTCTGTACCAATTCGTTCAAGGGTACCTCCCATTTTCTCTTCTAACAGGTTCAGTGTGGCTGGATTTATGTTGAGGTCTTTGAACCATTTGGATTTAAGTTTTGTGCAAGTGGATAGACATGGATCTGTCTGCAGCCTTCTACATGCCAATATTCAGTTATGCCAGCACCATTTGTTGAAGATGATTTCTTTTTCCATTGTGTTTTTTTAGCTTCTTTGTTGAAAATCAGATGTTAATACATGTATGGGTTAATATCAGGGTGTTCAATTCAATTTCATTGATCTACCTGTCTATTTTTGTGCCAATACCAAGCTGTTTTCAGGACTAAAGCTCTATAATAGAGCACATAATCAGGGATGGTGATGCCTCCAGACGTTGCTTTGTTGAGCAGGGTTGTTTAGGCTATCCTGGGTCTTTTGTTTTTCCATATAAAATTGTTCTTTCAAGGTCTGTGAAGAATTGTGTTGTTATTTTAATGGGGATTACATTGAATCTGTAGATTGCTTTTGGCAGGATTGCCATTTTTACTACATAGATCCTACCTATCCAAGAGCATGAGAGATCTTTCCCTTTTCTGGGGGGCTTCTTTAATTTCTTTCTTTAAAGACTCAAAGTTCTTGCGATACAGGTCTTTCACTTGTTTGGTTAACATTACCTCAAGGTATTTTATGTTGTTTGTGGCAATTGCACCCTTCACAGCTGATTTCTAACATATGTTTCTACATTTTAATATCTTGTTAAAATTGTCAATGAATTCAGGCATTGGAATCTGTGGGAAGGATTTGTGGTCTGATTGCTAAGGTACCCCCTATGCCTGCCTCTCCCCCATCTCCATATCTCCCATTTCATGTAAAAGAAACATAGAGGGATGAATGTCAAGTGGATTTCACTAAATGCTCACTCTATATAATACATTTTCTTTCTTTTCACTGTATAGGCCAGAATCTCTGTTTCATACAGCGGCAAAGCCTAGGGCTTGATTGGTAAGCATTTTGTATTTGTTGTTTTTGTTTGTTTGTTTTTTTAATCAACTTACTGTTTGAGGTTTTTTCAGGTGTGTAGAGGTCCTGTGTTTGAATTTGAGTTTGACTTTTATCTTCTCTGTCAATATTCTGACTAGGTATTCAGTCATTTCATCAAAATTATTTTTAAAAATTTATTCATTTGATTTGTATGCATGTTCTCTCTCTCTCTCTCTCTCTCTCTCTCTCTCTCTCTCTCTCTCTCTCTCTCTCTCTCTCTCTCTCTGTGTGTGTGTGTGTGTGTGTGTGTTCCACATATATGCCTAACACCCAAGGAGAACAAGAAGACAGCATCTTGTTCCTTCATGAAGTGGTATGATGTTGGTGCTAACTTACTCATCCAGAAGTAATAGCTGTGATCTTTTCTTTTTCTCTATTTAAATGAAAGTTTCTGTACTTACTCCACAGTTATCCTGCTTTTCTTTATTGGGAGATTCTGGAGGAAATCTTTAGAGCAATTTAGTGGGTAATTTTGTTAAGTATTAGCATTCAAAAATAGTCATAAGGTTGAAGAATATAAACGGGGATGTCTCTACTTGGGTGGATAGTCTCAGAATTTGTGAAACTTAGGGTAGATTGTGACTTCTAGAAACCAAATCAGTTCAGACCTTTCTCTTTACCCTCAGTAGTGATCTACTTTGCAAGTAGAATTTTAATGTGTTAAGCCATGGAGTGCTTTTACTCCCTGAAACTTTTACTTGGATGAAATGTATTTTGATGCTTCTTGTTTATGTAAGTACCAGAGAGTTTAGATTGCATGGGTAATTTTAGGTCAAGCCTATGGATAATGGCTCTTTTATGGAGGAGAAAGGGTTTTTTCATCATACTTCATGAAAAAGCACTATTTACACAGAAGTTAATGGGCCCAGTTTTTTCCTTTAAAAATAACTTCCAAATTATAATCGCAATATGTGCTTACAATGAAAGTCTAGAGACTATTAAAAAGTAACATTTTAAAAAACAATTGGCTTTCCGAAGGAAAGGAAAAATTGGATATGTGGAATTTTTTCCAGTTTCTAAGATGTAAGTATTCTCACACTGAATTCCAGACAATTAATGATGTTATGGCTGAATATAGATTTAGGAAAAGATACACTCTCAATTCATCTGAAAATGTCTTGAGCATCATTGAATATATTGTAAATCATTCATGGTCCAAATATCTAGTCATGACCACTCTGAATATTTTGATGTTACTTCAACTAATGTTTTTATGAAATATCCATATTCTTTGAAGATGATAGGGTTTTTTGGTTTTTTACGAGACAGGGTTTCTCTGTGTTGTTTTTGAGGCTGTCAGTCCAGCCCAGCCTCGAACTCACAGAGATCCGCCTGCCTCTGCCTCCCGAGTGCTGGGATTAAAGGCGTGCGCCACCACTGCCCGGCTTGAAGATGATATAGTTTTTAAGATCTAAATTTATTCTTTCTTACTCAAGTGTCTGACTTTATTTTTAAACTCTAATGTTCTATAGCTATTTTGGAAAAGGTATAGTAACTCATTGAACTTAAAAGATTCTATTCTATTTTTTGGTTAAAGCAAATCATCTAGAAAGCATTATATTGTGTGGAATTTCAAAAGTTTTGTGGCTCATGCAGATGAGTTGGAGGCATGACTTTGGTGACAGTATGTGTAGAAGCAGTAAAAGGACAGTAATCTTCACAGGAACTTTGCCCTTTTATGATGCTTGATGCAGAGTCAGTGAAGGTTGTTCCCATGGGAATGTAAACATATGAAAAGTAGTTTATTTTGCCTGGTTCATATTATATTCTTAGTGTCTAAGTTTGATTCTGGGAATTTACTGCCTCTTATGGGAGAAACAGGTCTACTCGAGGCTCTGAAAGGAGAAAAAGTACTACTATTTGTTTCTTTGGAACATAAAATTTAAAAAGTTGTGCCCAATGCCTAGAAGTAGCTGACGAGGTTGGCACATTGTGGCTAAGTTTGCCAGGTTCCTGAGGTTGTACAAGTGAAACAAAAGACTCCAAATCTCTGTAAGTGCCTTAGGAAAGCCTAAACAATAGACTTGGGAGCTTTCATTTGTGTTTTTCTCTTATTTAGGTTGAAAGTCCTGTTAATGTAGTCATCAATATCTGGGCAAGCATGTCACTAGATAATGAAGAACAAGAAATACCTGCTGAGACTATCATGGAAAAAAAATGGTGAGGGTTTATAATGCACAAAAAGGTGTAATGTGGCCTGCTACTCAGAATGTTTTTTTTCTTATCCAAGTCTGGTCTCTTTCCAACAGATCTTACTTCACTTTTCCACCTGTGCTGAGTGTCTGTCTCAAGATTCTTACATAGGTAAGATTATGTGAGAACCACAGAGGAGAAGCATTGTAATATACATAGTTTTGATTGACAAACCAAAATGATTACATGTAAAGATTTTTATTAAAACCACATCTATTTTTGGTTGTGAGCCTAGCCTTTAACGGCTGAGCCATCTCTCCAGCCCAAATCAGTACCCATCCCAAGTATACACACGGACTCTGGACTCCCATAGAACAATGTGAGGTGCACTCTCACCCTGAACTCTTGGGGAAGGGTCTAGGCCCTGCCCTATATGAAATGACAGACTATGGACACCCCCATGGAGGGCCTCACCCTGGGGGAATGAGGGGATAACGGGGGGGGATGGGGGGAGGGCACGGGAGGAGGGGAGGGAAAGGGAGAGGGACCTCGAACTGACTTGTGAAGCAACCTTGTTTCTTATCTAAATTTAAAATGGAAATTAAAAAAATAATAATAATAAAAAAAGAAAATCAAAAAAAAGAAGAAGCTCAGCTATAAAAAAAAAAGGAAAAAAAAACCACATCTAAAAGTGTCCAGACTGTGAGAGGTACTTGTCTAATATAAATGTTTATACAGTAAAGCTGCATTTTTACTTAAAACCATGCAGGCAAATCCCATCTCAGTGAGGTTCAAGTTCTCTCAGGGTTCTGACCAAACTATTTGCTTGGATATTTGGTTAATATAAATGTAGGTCATTTGACTAAATCAGTCTAATTCTTCAAAACATTTTAACTTAGGGATTTTGCCTATCTTATTATTTCTGCCCAGAATTTTAGTTTTAGTAATCCCTAACACACTGCTACCTATGCATTCTATATTCTCATTTGGTGTGATTTTTGTTCATTGTTATGTAAGTCTTACAATCATGAAATGTGAAAACTAAGCTGTAAGGATAGGTAAGGATTAGGTTTGTAGAAAGAAATAAAATACGATAATTTAAATCATCCCAATCAGCTACAGCATGCTTTATTTAATTCAGAGAGGTGGCATCTCGAGTTCTGACCCCAGTGTGATCAGAGCACAAGACTTAAGACACTCAATGTCTTCAAGGTAGAGATTTTATAGCTAAGAATCTGGAAGTGGGGAGAGATGGTTCATTGTGGGCAGAATGGAGTTATCTGTTTTCCTTAAATAAGCTGTTTTTGAAACTGCAGGGTCTGTTGCCTCTTAGCAGCCATTCTTCTGCAATCCCCAAACATCTGACTTCCTGGAATTTTGAGCAGAGTTTAGAACCTTGACATTTGGGGGGACGATTCCTTTATAAGGTGCATCAAGGGCTACACAGTATTTCCCCCATTTCAAAAAAAAAACACAATGTGGAAGAGCTGTTATATACATGACCTTAGTGACAGTGAGTGCACACACAAAAGACCTTCACAGGAGCATGCCAGCCAAGATCCCATCATGGTTGGTAGAGAGGGGTTCATGAAGTTCCATTCCTAGCTGGGAAGATACTGGCAATTTATACCTGCTGGGAAAAGAAAAATATGTTTCCCCCCCAAAGATGTGGACCCTTGCTGTGTGACACTACACCTGGGGAGACTTGATCATGTGTCTTCTCATTACATTGATGACGGATAAAAAGTACAGACAATACCAAAGTCCATATTGATAAACAAGTGATATTTTATTGAGCTTACTTACAGGAATATTGGTGAGGGTTTACTTACAAGAGTAGATATGACTCAAAAACAGCTGCATCAACAAAGCCCACACCAGAATAGGCAAAGGAAAGAAAACATTACTGGTTAGATAAAAAAGTTTCAGAAAATAGTAAGAGATTGCAACTTGTCTTGACTTTCTAAGATAGAGTAAGGGTAAGAATATACTAAGAGCTGGGTGGTGGTGGTGTACGCCTTTATTCCCAGCACTTAGAGGCAGAAGCAGGCAGATCTCTTGTGAGTGAGGCCAGATTGGTCTACAAAGCTAGTTCTGGGATAGCCAGGACTACTTAAAGAAACCCTGTCTAGAACCCTCACCCCAAGATAGTGAGTTGCCAGAGCAGACAAAGTTTTGACATGCAGAAAAAGAAATGTGAGAATAATACATTTGCAACCTTAGACACTGAGTTGTTAATCATAAGCAAGGGCACAGCTGAAACCATTGCACTAACCCACTCTGTGTAGAAAGAAAGTGAATTCAGGGAATCAAAGTGCTGGGCTAACTGTTTTGGGGGTGGTGCAGAGAGCAGTAAGCAGCAGGAAAAGTCTTGTCTGTTTTAGGAGGACAGATTAAGTGGAGAGTTTTGGAAGAGAGATAGGTAAATCAGGGCTGCTAATAGAAGCTGGTATTTTTGCCTATCATGGGAATCCCTTTCCACTCTTTCCTATTCTTCCCTTAAATGCCATATTCAGCAGACCTCTATGAAAGGTTTGAGAGTCATTATCTAGTCTCTTAATTTCTTTTGTAAATATATTCAATTTGGAATGTTATTTTGCATTAAACAAACTTTACTGGTTTTCATTTACTTGCTTCAGGCTATACTTGACAACACATACTGAAGGTTATATAATAAGAGATATAAAAAAGCTTGTTCCTGTCAATGAATGACATTTGTACTTAGCTTGACAAACATGGCTCTGAGCACACTAAAGAATTTGATCACTTATAAGGTGACCATTAACTTGAATGTCTTAATTGTCTTTTAACAGTTTATAGTAAATTAATAACTTTTGTAAGATTGATATTTTATAATTTTATCACTTAAAATTGAGTTTTAAATTTTGAATTGAAGATTCTTTAGAATCAAAATAAACTTCAAGTCAAATACACCATCTTTGGAGATACTGGAAACCTCATTTTACTGATCCTTTTATAGTGTAATTTTACAAAATACCAGTTTTTAAAAAAAGTTTTTCAAAATAGCTAAAGCTTAACAAAGTTAAGAAAGATATAACTGGTTAGACATATGCCTTTAAGTTTGTTTTGTTAAGTTATTTTTTGTCTTTAAGTTTTTGTTATAATCTTAGGATTTCATAAACTTTAATCATCAGATATTTGTTGTTCATAAGTCATATTTTCTATTAATTATGCCCATGATTTTTGTCTCCTGCTGTTATTTTTTGCTCTTAGAACAAAACCCATTATACAAAAATCCATCCTTATCCAAAATATGTCAGAGCCTAGTGTTGCCTCCAAACAGTCTTGCCATGAGATAAATAGTAACCTCTGTTGACAGTAGTTGACTGCTTAGCTCTCAAGTGTATAGTGTCTTTTCCTATTCACTCTCCGTGTCAAACAGCCAGGGTACAAGCCTGACCCAAGACAGGCTTTGGATGAAACGTTTAGATAAATATGATTGAGGCGAAAGTGGGCAGATCAAATCCCATCCCTAGAGCCAGGTTTTTAAATTTTATTTATTTATTCTGTGTGCACTCTTCTGTCTGCATGCCAGCAGAGGTGGTTGTGAACCACCATGTCATTGCCTGAAATTGAACTCAAGACCTCTGGAAGAGCAGTCTGTGCTCTTAACCACCAAGCCATCTCTGTAGCCCTGAGCCAGTTTATTAATAGGGTAAAACATGACAATTTCCAAACGCTATCCATATCCCAAATACATTTGGATCTCTGTAATACTGAGCCTAGTGATCAAAGGGAGGGACAAGCACAGAACACAAAGAAAGCTTAGACGTAAGGGATTTTTTTGGATCATATGCTTGTGCTGTGGCAGAACTTGTCAGAATCTGTGAGAATTTGGAAATCGAGTTTTCTGTTTTCTTGCCAGAAAGACTGATTGTCAAGCTTGCATTGAGGCCAAGCTGTGTCGTAGTAAAGTCAGGCAACAAGACTTAATGGTCTATCTGACTCCAAAGAGAGAAAGAGATTTAAGGAGACAGACAAGGGGAGTTGAAGAGTCCAGTTTTGAGTGACAAGAGCCTATGATTTGTTAGAGGAAGGGAGCTGTCCTTGAAGAAAGGTTGGTAGTAAAGAATTTCCAAGAGAGAACAAAGAACTCAATAAGAGAGTTTAGGAAAGATTTCTTTTCCTTCCCAAGTTCAGGTATTAGAGGTCATAAATATGAGTTCTACTGGAAGGAGGATTCCAATAGCTTATCTGTGAGAAGTAGGAGTTACAGATTGTGAGGATATAACAGAATAGAAATGGAGGCACAGGAATGAATGACACAGTAAATGGTAACTCAGGACAGAGTCTTAGTCCAAGGACATCCCCAGGGGACTGAAACTTGCCAAAGAGATGCCAGGATCACATGAGCAGGCATGACTTGTCACTTTATGGATAGTCAAAAAGGCTGGTTGCATCTGGTATGCCTGGCATACCAGAGCAACTTTTATTGAGCAATCAAGAGGCAGAGACTTGGTTCGCAGCTCCGAGAACACTTAAGTGGGTAAGGAAAAGGTGAGTGGGTAGAGCAGGTAGAACAATGGAAGTGGTTAAAGAGATGAACTCTAAATTTGGAGTCAAATATGGTGGGTGGCACAAGCCATAAGAGACAAATGATCTGTGCCCAGGAGGGCCAAATTGGCAGTTTGGTCCTTTTGGGAGAGACTGGGATTTGGAGGACCCAAGTTTTCTTCCTTGGTTTCAGTACCAGATATAAGCAAGGGCATGGTGAACTCACCATGGTGGATAGAAAGAAAAGTTTATTCAGGGAATCAAACTGTTGAATTATGTCCGGGGCACAGAGAATAGTTGCCATCATGAAAATCCTCGTTAGATTTATGGGGACAGGTAGTGGCAGGAGGACCGTTATCAGCCAGAATAGTCTAGGATTTAGCATGGAGAGACTTTAATCTGTTCCAGAGCTAGATGCACTTTGCCTTGAGGGAGTTGACCATTAGAGACAGATAAGGGAAATAATGACTTTTCCTGGGAAGCACAAACCTGACTCAGGATTTTTCTGAGGAATGCAGAGTTTAGGTTTTTGTTTACCTGATAGCAACCCTTCTGTTTACCTGGTCAGAGTCCAGCTTGAACTGAGCCCAGGCTGTCATTTGGGACATTGTCAGCAGCACTTCTATTATAGGACCCCCCCTTTAGATATAATGATC